AGCCATTGTTATAAACTAATAGGTGATCCTAGGCTTTGCCTAAGACGTGTTTTTTTTATTTTATTTTCATTATTTATGAAAAACTTTTATGAACCATTATTATAATCTAGTAGGTGATCCTAGGCTTTGCTTAAGACGTGTTTTTTTTATATAAAAAAAAACAAAAAAATCGTTGCATTTAAAACAACAAAAACTAAATAAAAAATTATCATAAGTGGATGATTTCTTAATGAGCCACTAAAATGCAAGAATCATTTATGTAACTTACGACAAAAATGAAAGATAGCATCCCTATAGGGATGCATAATAGTAAAACCCATATAACGACCAAAAATGTCAAGCTGAACAAAATCCATAGACCATTTATGTAAGAGATAAAAAAGTGGCAAGGTGTCAAAAGTTATAGTGTTCATTTTCAAGGACCAAAATTAACAAAGTGCTAAAGGTTTGTGGCAGAATTTTGAGTCACTATTCCTATGTGTGCTGTAGGGACCTAAATTGACAATGTCGAAAAGTTTTGTGACAACATTCTTAAGTGGTAAAGTTTTGTGGCAAAATTCTTAAGAGGCAAAAAGTTATGTGGCAACATTCTTAAGCGGCAAAGTTTTGTTGCAAATTTCTTAATAGGCGAAAAGGCACTGTTCCTAAGTGTGTTATGATTTAAAGTAGTATAGTAATGTTTTAAAATAAGGTTTTTAATTAGTTAATCATAACGATAATTAAAAATAATACTCAATCAAATAAATAATCTTTAAATCATTTAATTATAACGATAATTAAAAATAATACTCAATCAAATAAATAATCTTTAAATCATTTAATTATAACAATAGTTAAAAGTAACATAAAATAAAAAATTCTATTTAACATTTCATGCATAAACTGAATGTAAAGGGTTTTGTAAAATTTGATTGCAATATACATTTATTTTATTATATTATTCAAAAAACTTACAATTTTATATATTAACATAACATAATAATTATTATTTCGTACTTAATATTAAAACCTACATAATCTTAACCTACACAACGCATAAGAATTCGTCTAGTATAAATATAACAAAAGAATAATTTAAACCCAAAGCCAATTTTTGTTGGGTTCTACTGATATTAAACCTTCTCAGAATAACCTAAAACTTATGTTAATTACTCTTAATTTTACATAAAAGTTCTTATGGTTTTCAAGTTTTTCGTTTTTGCCCCTGTGACGATTTTTGGTGCGTTAATGTCTAATATTTCGGAAAATTTGTTCATTTTTGTCCTTCAACCATTTTTTACCTCTACAATAGGTCTCCACAACCACAATACACCCTAGCGTTTACCACCAAAAGTAACCACCACCATATGCCGCCATATATATAGAAATCGTCACCGCCATCACCACAAACTTGCCTCCACCACGACAATCACCACTTACCTCCACCATACACACAAACCTGGAAATCGCCACCACTACATGTCTCCTCCACCACCACCACCCTTTAAAAATCAAAATACAAAGCAGAGATGGAGGTGATGGCTAGGATTTACGACGAAAACAAAGGCTAGAGATTGTAGTGAAATCGAAATGGAGAGATAGATTAGGTTTTGGTTTTCCGTATGGGGGAGGAGGGTGATGGAGGTAGCTTCGGTGGTTAGAAGACAATGGTGGTTGGTAGAGTTTGACGGCGAAAGGAAGACGGCTCCATCAGTGTGTGCATATTTGAAAATGGTGGGGCTTTTTGGTTTTTCGACGGAGAGAATAAGGTGTCGTATGTAGCTCCAGTGGTCGGAAGACAGTGGTGGTTGGTGGGGTTTGATGGCGGAGGGAAGTCGGTTCCACCAGTATGTGCAGATCCGAAAATAAAGGGGGGTTTCAGTTTTTCGATGGCGGAGGATAGCGACGATAGCACTATAGAGAGAGAGAGAGAGAGAGAGAGAGAGAGAGAGAGAGAGGATGTAGAAGGTAACTAGGCAAGATGGTGGCTATGTGCAGGGGCAGAACTAGCTATGAGCAATGGGTAGCACGTGCTACCCCTCAAAATCATCCAAGATTTTTTTTTTGGATGTTTTTGCTATTGCCAAATTATCGGAGGTGCTACTCCTTACATGTTGGCCACGAAGATGAAGAATCAAATGGGGGAGTCGATGAGGTGGTTAATTCATTATCAGAGTGATTGTTAGTGTTCAATTTAGGAGATTAGGGTTGGTTCTTCACCACCAACACCAACAACCATCGCAATCGTCAATGTGCTTTCATAAGAGAGTGTCGTCCAATTTTTCAACCCTCCGATGGATTTCAGATCGGACGACCATATCATGAAATATCCCCCCCCCCCCCCCCCAACAAGTTTATAAATTTTAATTTGTTGTTTATGTGGGTTTGTAATCATAATGTTTTTGCACATAGTTGTTAGTGGTTTAGTAATCCTAACGTTTCTAAGTGTTTTCTTGTTTACTGTGGGAGATATTCTATTGTCATGTGGTCTATTCCATTGTTCATTTGGCGATATGATACATTTCCTCTGGTCATAGTTATGATTGAATGTAATGGTTTTCTCTGATGTTGCTACCTGCTTAATGCTTTATGGTTGGGATAGTTGGGTTTATTTTGAGTTTTAGTGTTCCGGATGCTCTCTTCCTTTGTTAGTGTTCTTTTTTGACCGAATGGACGGTTTTGAACTTGTGTATTGGATGCTATGTTGAAGTTAATTATTATTAATTGTTGGTGATTTTAGTGTCACCATGTCATTTTATGTAACTGGAATTAGCATGTGAGCTAAGGGGCTTCTTAATTTGTTTTCTAATATGTGTAAGGGTTGGTGCGGAGTGCACGCATGTATAAAATCAAATTATTAGCCGGTTCGGCGACTAGTCGGGGGTCCGGGGGCAGCGCCCCTGTGTCCGGGGTTTCCAAAGGGGCAGCGCCCCTAGCGGGGTCCAAGGGGCAGAGCCCCAGGCTGGGGTCCCGCTGACTTGCTTCCAAAGGAATCCATAGCGGCCCAACCTTAATGAAACTCTAATATCGTTTATTATATAAACGACTCTTTTTTCCAGAAGATATATACGATATTAAGCTCTCGTTTTTCATCATACTTTCACAGAATCCTCTAACGTATTGGCTTACGATTTCTGTGCCTAGAATCAGGGGCGGAACCAGAAACTTTCATCAGGGGTAGCATAAATTTTTGACAATCTATGCATTCAAAGGATCTCATACAATTATACAAGTTTTAGCAGGCAGGGGACAAATTGGTCGATTCACAGCTTAGAATGACCACCTATTATCTGTGGATTTAAAGGAAAACTTAGGAGTTTAGGACCAGTGGTTTTGTCACTCTATGTTTTACACTTTAAGAATGAATTTGGAAGCAACATTATACCTAAAAGAATATGGAGTTTGTAAAAAAAGAAGTTATAGGTGGTTTTGTCGGTTCATGTTCTTCACTTTAAGCATCAATAGCTTAAATGTGCAAGTCTTTAACAATATTTACACTCTACTAATCAAAGCAATTTAATGGAAGATGGCATTAATATAAAATGGACCTTGATCATTACTTTGTAGTCAACAATAAACAACTAAAACCTAAACAAAGTTTGAAATTAAAACCCACACAAAGTTTTTGTACTGTGAATGCCTATAAAATATAATTTTGCATTATGTCCCACTATATAACGAAATTAAAGTCATTTGAATGCATTGAAACTTTGCAATGCCACCTTTTGATGGTTGCCTTTAAAATAATAGATTTACTTTGAATTCACAATACACAGTTTAAGTTCTCTAGGATTGTCTATTCTTTAAGCATGGAGGCCCTGACACCATCAGAAGTACAAAAACATGTAATTTTGTTATATCTTCCCCTAAGATAAATCCACTAATAAATAGAACCACACGGGGTATACTAGTGCTACTTATTGTTTTTCTAAGTTTATATCAACTCTTCCCCGTAATGTTGTTTCTTTTAGGCATAACATCAAACACTTGTACGACATCATGAAATGACCCTTAGCACTTATTAATTTCCAACAATAAGGAATACCCAAATGAATTAAAACTTACTAACGGTTGAAGATTGGATCGATTATGAAAAAAAAAACAACATTATGGAAACCCATTTGGAATCTAAATATAAAACGAGTGGGGGGAATCTTAATAATTATAATTTTGAGGATAGGGCGGGTTAGGAACACATACTGATTTGATTCTTCTTCTAATCATCTTCCTCTGCAACGTCTAAGGATTAGCACCTTTGTAATGTAGTACTAGCATATCAAATGTTTTTCTATTTCTCGGACAAACTTGAGGGATAGCCTGTGCTATCCCTGGCTACCAACTAGATCCGCCGATGCCTAGAATCGTAAGTGTCCACTTGGATTATCCTAGGCTGAATTTCTTGTAACCCAGACATAGGGTAGAAATATCAGTTCGGAAAGTGATATTACGATCCAAGTTGGTATCCAGATCTCCACCACAAACCCTAAACTTCCCTACATTAATCTCCACATATACTGATTTATAGTTCATAGGATGCATTTCATGGTTTGTACTTGATTTCTTCTAGTTGTTGGTGAGATTTTTTGGTTCGGACTGATGGTTTTGCCCTTGCTTCTTTTGTGTTTCTTATGTGGACGATTTGCTTATCTTCATAGAGGCTGCCTATTAGTTCATTAGCATGGTGTTGCTCTTGATTTATTCTAGCTGCTGCTTGTGGTCTTGCTTAGGTTTGGTCTCATTTTGTGGATTTATTGTAGTTTCTCTGTTGTTTTGCTTAGCTTTATTTCTTGTTGTCTTCATCTTGTATAGGCCTTGTTTGCTTTCTCTTTTTCTTTGCAATCTCATGTTTGTTTTTTCAGCTCCTCGATGGTGTTATTCTATATATTTTATCGGGAAAAAAAATTATGCTACTTACAAGGGATAAAACTTAAAAAAAACTTCAAGAATTTTATGTGAATGACCCTAATTTTAGGTAACAAAATAAATTCGATTTTGACTATACATTAAGTTTCCTCCCGTCGGCTTGGACTCAGAACTCTCCTCCCCATGGACTTGCCGCCTCCATCATTCGCCATTCTCCCTCCACCTCCAGGCGCAAACCCGAACCCTAACTCTCAAATCTTTCCGCCCTACCACCACCATCACCACCACAATCCCACCACCGTCCCAACCCAACCTCCTGATCTCCACACCACCCTTTCAACCCTAAAACACCTGATCAACCTCTCTAAAACCACCATCCAGTCCCTTTCCAATATACTTCCCACCACCACCCCCGCCACCGATGCGATTGCCACTTGCCCTTACAACTCCAACCACCGGGTCCCTCCCAACTCCCTCTTCAACCACCACCTTCGATGCCCCTCTTCTCCTGCAGTTATCGATCTTGCCCTATGTGACTCCCTTCACTACCCCAACTCCCTTCAAGCTCCGCAATCTCTACTTAATCAGGAAAACAATTGTCTCACCCAGACGCTTTCCAACGATGCGACCACAGACTTATGTCTTTCCCTAGATGGTTACCATACATCACTTGATTCGAATTTTTTCTACCGGGATTGTCCCGCGGTTGTTACATTTCCTCATGACAATAACAAATCTGATTGTACGCTTACGTTGCCTGCTGTTTTATCAGCTGAGTGTGCAGATTTAATAGGTGATCGTAGCATTGATATAAACGACACCATTGATGGTTTGTGCAGTAGTTCTGATCTTGTTGAGCTACTTGCCTCTGAATACTGGAATATTAGAACTGAAATTAATCAATGGAATGATTATCCCACTAGCTATTCTTACAGCGTCCTTCGCTCAGTTTTATGCTCTTACATATCTCAGAAGGAGTATCTAATGGAATGGATCTTGGTGAATTCTCCATTTTATGGTGTTGTGATTGATGTGTATACGAGGGATCACATTCACTTGCTGTTTAAGCTCTGTATGAAAGCCATAGCTAGGGAAGCTGCTGGGTATCTGGTTTCGATCTCTAAAGGAGACCCAAAAGATGGTAACTTTTGCTTTCAGTGTCCTGTAATGTCCAGAGTATTGACATGGTTAGCTTCACAACTTGCTATATTGTATGGAGAAGTAAACGGAAAAGTATTTGCAATCAGCATGTTAAAGCAATCCCTACTGGTTTCTGCATCAAAATCTTTGTTTCTTTATGGTGAACAAAGGGCTAGCAAATCAGTAAATGTAAGTGAGATCGATGGTAAAGCTGTCATGGAACATGATGGAAGAACACCAGGCATGATTTTGGTTTCCCAGGTAGCAGCAGCTGTTGCTGCATTACATGAACGTTTCTTGTTTGAAACAAGAATAAGAACCATACGAGCTTCACGGTTTGTTCCAGTTTATCAAAGGTGCTTACATTACTGATTACTCAAACACACTTATTCAGTTATTCTCATAGTATTTTCTCATCTTCCAATTAACATTTAACTATATTTCAGAGCTCAAGAACATGGATATATATCTAAAATAGCTGATGAGGAACGTGGAAAACGTTCAAATTATAGAGCCATAATTGAACATGATGGAGTGCTTTGGCATCATGGAGGTAACCAGGTAGTAAACTAAACCTGTAAATTGTAATTGTAATTGTCCCTTATTTAGTAATGGTTAGTTTTGTTTAGTCTAATCTCAATATCTTTAAATCATTATAGGATGGAAATAAGAATAAGTCACGAGAGGAATTGTTAGCTGAAGAAAGGGATTACAAAAGGCGAAGAGTGTCATATCGTGGCAAGAAAATGAAAAGAAGCACAACCCAGGTGAACAACTATAATATTTCTTTGTCATCAACATATATCTTTTATCAATGTACTTATGTTTGTATTATTATTAAAAGGTGATGAGGGATATAATTGACGAATACATGGAAGAAATCAAGCATGCATACATGGCTGGGAGTGGTCAATCTTCTTTAGATGCTGCAAAGCTTGCATCAAAACCTTCTTCCATGAATGACTTAGATAACAAGGCAAAGATATCAAAGAAAGCAGTTCCACAAAGTAATCGGAAAGAGAAAGACTCAGTTTCTGATATCAGTATGAAATCATCAAGATTTGGGAATGAGATTAAAGAAAAAAGCAACAGAAACAGAGATCAAGAATATCATACTAGTAAGAGCCGATCTCATGATCATAGGCAACAAGATGAGTATAAACGCTCAAGAAAATATCAAAAGAGGAATGAATTTGAGGACAGATATGATCCTTCTAAATCTCATGATATGAATGATGATGATGATGATCTCTAATCTGACAGCTCTGTGATATACCAATTTTGTTAGACAGCAGCTAAGAGGAGGTATGTTCTTGAAATTGTTTTTTTTTTTTTTTTTAAAGTTATTTTTCATTTTTGGTAATGGGGATGTGTTGATTTAAGTTGTGACATTTTGCACGAAACTTGCAGTAGGAAATACTATCCAGGCTTCAGCAGTTTATGAAACTCTGTATCCACCCTTGTATCCTTTGTTGTTATTGTTGTTCATTTACTTCCTATTTCTAATTTCCATCTAATCAACATAACAAAAGATGTCAATTCACATTTAATTAGGGCCCCACTGATTTGATATGCATACAGTTTATTTGCTTCGTTTTGACCATCAAGAACTTTATGGTTAAAATGGTAATTTATAGCACGTCACACACGTATATATCTAATGTGTGCATGTATATTAATTCTTTTTTAACTACATTTTCAAATACATCACCCTTGCTTCTTGTGTGTATTGGTTTTACTAATTCCATCTTCACACATATATCACCCTTGCTTCTTGTGGGGTTGAATAAATTCCCTTTTTTTTTTTTTTTTTGGCTTTTGCAGGTGAAAATGGTTAATTTGTGCTGCAAGAAATATATAAACATGCAACAGCCACATGGATGACTTTGTTTTAGTAATATAGATCAATTTTTATGTTGATGAGTATTTAATGATGATGGTATATTTTATTTATTTAGGTGTTGTTTGTTTTTCTATAAAAACCTCTTCAAACCACTTATTGCTGCGCGGCGCAGCACACGCGCAGCACTTTCCCTCTCGCAGCAGTTTGTTTTTTGGAAGGCTTCAGACTACAAAACCTCTGCGCGTGTGCTGCGTGGCGCAACACTTGACTTGCCTCTTCTAACCTCTTCAGCTTTCATTTTTTCTAAGTGTTTTTTTAAGAATTTTTGTATAACTTTTTTTTTTAACTTTTTTTTAAACTTTGATTTTCCTAAAATTTTTATTTACGGATGTGATACAATTTATTTTTATAATTTCCACGATTTTTTTTAACTTGATTTTTTTAATTTTTTTTACCGTTTTATTAATAATATTTTCAATTTCAGTTGCATCTTTTTTAACGTGTGTAATTTTTTACGAACTTTATAGACATCGTTTGCAATACTTTCTTAATTTTTTTATTATTTTCTTTTTTAATGTTTTTTAAAATTAGTTTTTTTTTCTAGAATAAAACTATTAGCTTCTTTTACATTTTTTTAAGTTTTTTTTTTTAAAAAAAGTTTTATATTTTTGTTTTTTTACATGTTCTTTTTATTATTATTTCAATGTTTTAATACTAGAATTATTAAATTTCGGTGTTGAGAACTATTTTCAGTTTATAAAACTAGTTTATTTAAATTTCAGTTTACTGCAGCAGGCTGCAGTCGTTTGTTCCACCTCTTCTGCTACAGAGGATTGCAGAGGTGGTCCGCAGACTTCATGAATTTTCGCTTCGAAAAAACAAACAGCACCTTAATAGACTTGTGATAAAGTTGCATTTTAAACAACTTTGAAGCACACAAATCATAAGGGAAAGTGAAACGTATGGACATGGATTATTATTATATATAATAATGCTTTATGGCCTTATTGCTTAAAAGAAAACAATTTTGACAACTAATCCGGAGGAGTATAGTTATTAAACTAGGTTATAACCCGTGGAAACCACGGTCGGTATATTTAAAATTTATATATAAATAAAAATAATAATAAATGTAAAAAAACCAAGATATTGTCGATTGTAAGTAATTATGAATTAATTTGTTAAGCAAAATAAAAGTGCTTGGAGCACTTGATTTGATTTGTTAAGCAATTTAATTTGTTAAGCAAAAATAAAATTAATTTGTTAAGCAAAATAAAACCAAGAAAACAATTTTGTATTTTTCAAAATTTGGATTGAATTTGATTTGTTATAAAAAAAAGGAAATAATAAAAATCATAGAAAATAGCCACTGTGTCAAAGAGGCATTTTAAAAAACTGATACGTGTCATTTTTAAGTTTCATTTATTAGAAGAGGTAAATAGATGAATCCAATTTATGTAGTTAAAGTGCTTGGAGCACTTGATTTAACAATCTTTATTTCAATCAAATGCAAAATGAGAAACCAGTTGGGTTGTGAGGTTCGTCTTAAAGCTGACATAGAAATCTTCGTTATGAAGATCCTTTCCAAAAAAAATTGTAATCCTTTTGCAAGAAAACAATGTTCACATGCTATCATATGACAAAGTGCAATTTATTTAAAGATTTATCGTAATAATTACCAAAGTTATTAAGAAAATATCTGAATTTGAAAAAAGTATAATATATATATATATATATATATATATATATATATATATATATATATATAATATGAACCAAGTTGGTAGCTTTTTATTACTTTAAAGTTTAAATGGAAGTGTTGCTGAAGATGAAACATGAATTTTTGCTATTTTAAACTTTGGTGACCAAAGGGAACGATTATTATTTTGTATTTTATATCTTTTCGTAATTCACTCTGTTTAAAGTTTTATAAAGGGACTTCTTTTGGAAAATGTTAAAACCTTAGGGTTGTTTATGACAGAACTTCTAAACTTCTGTCTCTGCCACGGTGACTCAGGATCCTCCTCTTTATGGCAATTGAGAGGATCAATCTTTTTCCTTTTTAGCATCTCTTATAATCTTTTTCCTTTCCGGCGACAGACATAAAAACAGAAACGACAATTACAGCGACCGGTGGCGGAGAAACGGTGGCGATGGAATCTCCTTCGGAAAAAAGACTCGAAATAATCACAAAAACAACAACCAACAATGGAATCAAGTGCAAAGAACGTGAGCGCGCACAACAACGAGGACGACGGGGGATGTTGCTAGGGATAGGGTTTTGGATGCAAGGATTTCGATGTTACCCGTGGATGGCGGTCATCTTCTTCCTTAAGGACGGACTCCATCTAGATCCATCGACGCTGCAAATCCTCCAGAATTCCGCAAATCTTCCGATGGTTGCAAAACCGCTTTACGGCCTTCTCTCGGATTCATTCTATATCTCCGGCCAACACCGTATCCCATACATTGCCTGCGGAGGTACCATTACGTTTTTATCCTTGTTCTTCGCATCTCACGAATCTAATTCTTCATTTATTGATTATACGTTTTTGATTCTGCATCTTAATTAACACGTACATGTATGCGGCTGTGGTTTTAATAATCGTAAACCGTTTTTCAATCTATTCCGCCATTTACAAATCAAAAATCGGTTACGATTTTGATTAAATTCGATCGTGGTGATGTTTTGCAGCGTTTTTACAGGCTGTATCATGGTTCTCCATTGCATGCCTACCACCTTCAAGCATCTCCTTCTTCACAATCACCATTAATCTCCTCCTCGGAAACCTAGGTGCTTCAATAGTCGAGGTCGCAAACGACGCCGTAGTAGCAGAATGCGCGAGGCAACCCGCCGGAAATTCAGCATCATCCTCTTCTTCCGATCTCCCATCATTCGCGTGGGTGGCTGGATCAATTGGCGGTGTAATGGGAAACCTTTTAGGTGGCATTTCAATCGAACGATTCTCCTCACAAACAATGTTCTTATTCTTCGGAATCTTATTAACTATTCAGTTCTTTATCACAATCTCTGTAAACGAAAAATCCCTCAACTTACCAAAAAGCAAATCCAATCACGGAATACGAAAACAATTCTTAGATCTCTTACTCGTGCTAAAAAAACCAGATATTTATCAACCGATTTCATGGTTTGCAGCATCATACGCCATAATCCCAGCCCTAACAGGAACAATGTTCTACTACCAAACTCAACATCTAAACATCGAATCATCAGTTCTCGGAATCTCAAAAGTATTCGGTCAAGTCGCGATGTTAACATGGGGCATCGTTTACAATCGTCGTCTAAAATCCATCCCCCCACGAAAACTAATCTCTACAATTCAAGCAATACTGGCGATTCTAATGGTGTCAGATTCACTATTCGTTTCCGGTTTCTATCATAGAATCGGGATACCAGACTCGCTATACGTCATCTTTGTTTCTGGGGTTCTGGAGGTTTTGTATTACTTCAAGACTTTACCTTTCAGTGTTCTAATGGCGAAGCTATGTCCACCTGGTTGTGAAGGGTCTCTAATGGCGTTTGTGATGTCCTCTATTGCATTGGCGTTTATTATAAGTGGGTATGTTGGCGTTGCGCTTGCTTCGTATGTTGAGGTTACAGAAACTGATTTTTCAGGGCTACGTAAAGCGCTGTTGATACAGGCAGCATGTACTGTTGTGCCTCTGTTTTGGTCGTCGTTTATTCCAGAGAGCCCGAAGGTTGAAATTGGAAAAAAAGAAGAGTGAAGCAAAGAGTATATATGGAGATATGTTCTTTGATCATAGACAAAGTTGGTGTATTTACGTGTAAGTATTGGATCTTGTTTATTTTTACAAAACAGAAATGCACAAAAAGCACATGGATCCGGTTAAGGGCAGGACCCGACCCGGCCACCATCATTACTAGAGACTGGTTAGGAACAAGATTGGCATATTACTAATTTACTAGGGACCGGTTAGTGTCATATTGGTCTTTTTATACATATGAATTTATTATCATCTCTTTATCTTGTCTTATATTTATTTCAATTTTTTTACAAATACTTACAAGGTTGGTATATGCATGGTGAAATATATTGTTTGGTTACCGTTTATGTTTTTTTTGTATTTGTTTTGCAATGTCAACAAAAATATAAACATGCATCAAAATTCAAAAGAATCATATATTTATTTTAAAACAAACACCTTTTTTCATCGTGTAAAATAAAGAATCCAACAATAATGTATGAATGAAGAGCAAAAGATACACATTCTAGGTATGAGGTTCAACCCTCAACATCATTTTTTACATTCAAAATGAATTATGAGTATAACCAAAATAAAGTATCAGTATATAATAAATATTTGTATTATCAAAATAATAATTTTATTAATAAAACAAGTAACAATATTAAATATAGGCTATTATAAAAAAATGGCATGTTGATTTTTCACTATTGATTTTGTGATTTCCGAAGTTAAGAAATTTGTCGGTCCAAATAGATACAAAAATTTCTTTATATGGTGTCAACCATGTTGTCTTCATATAAACAATACTCTTGAATATATAAAAACTTAAATCAACTTTTGATTAAATAAATATAACAAAATAAAATATATGTTTGATAAATACCTGCATAATCTACTAGAATTTTTTCAAGTTGTGAGACATTGACAATATATGCTTCTTTTGTTTCACATTCTGAGTAATATTTTCCATCCTTTCCATCATTTACAAAAAGCAGTCCAACAATGACCCAACATTGGTCTTTTGTATTTTATTTTATTACTTGTATTGATATGTCATCTACAAAGTAATCTTTTAGCATCTAAATCTCTATCCGGAATAACAACACGTGGAAACATGCATCTATCAATTGTCGATTTTAAACAATTTAATGCCCACACGTAGTTAGATTATGTTTCCTTATGCATATAGACAAATGTTATGCAAAAAGTCATTAATTGGAGTGACACCAACTCTTTCAAGGAAGGGCATCTCGTACATGTTTGTTTTGTACGTTACCACATCAAGCAACTTGTTTGTTGATGTATATGCATGACTGTAATAAACATAGTCAGTATTATCTAAGAAAAACATAACAATCTGCATTCGAGTTTTGCCAATTTTCTTATTCTTCTTGAATTTTTGGTTTGCATTATATATTGCTGAAAGAATGTATATATTTTCTACATTTTTCTTTTTAACGTAGATAATGTATCTCATGGTTTCACATGTTTTCTAGTCAACTCTTCCACTAATTGGGTTTCATTTTTAGAAAGACGATTTGGATATAATTGACATTCTAAATATAAGGCAAGCTCATGATTGTGCATTTCATATATCACTTTTAAGGAGCAACAATTATCGACTTTAGAATAATTGTCTTTCAAATTAAAGGGACAATTTATTCTTTTGCTACCAATATTTTTTAGACATTTTTGTATTTTTGTAAACACCTTCTCAATCATACTAAAAAAAATACGTTAGTAGTGGATCTTTTTATTATAATAGCATAATTAAGTCTGTCTGGACTCGGTCTATTAGTTGTTCACGAGAATTGAATACCTAAAAATGAATTTTTATTAGAAACGACTAAACTTACTGATTAACTATACTAATAAACCTAAATTTTTTATCATATTAGTTTTAAACTCTGACGTGTCAATTTCATTATCATAATCTTGAAGTGCATTGCTTGTGTGATTATTGTCAAACTAATCAATACATATAAATATAAATATGTAATTTACATAAGCATAAATATCTTAATAGTAATATATGGATACACACATCATAATTTAATTCATCAAACCCTGGCAAATATTGACCAACTCATTTCGCTACTTAACCCATTGTTGTTCATCACTATGATATGATTTAAGTTAAGCAAATTGAATTATTTGTCGATGAATTGTGTCAGAAAAGGTTTCAGAATTATGAGTGGTTGAATTGTGTGTTGAATATATATATTTAAATGTTACATTTATAGCCCTCTTATTTACAACTTACTTTTAATTTTTAAATTTTTTATTTTAAAACATTATTTATATATTATTTATGATCCGATTTTGGACTAAACTATATTCTCGTAGACATAATGCTCGGTATGACGTACACAAAACATACGAACTATTATGATCTATAAAAAATATGTTTTATAACAATATAAAAAAATAAAATTTGATCAAGATACTTGGGCATTAGACTCCTTAAAATGTGATACTTGAGCACAACAAAAGGACCATATATGTAAGAGAAAATTACTAATCTTGCCAAATGTCTTAATGATTTTTCACTTAATAGCCAAAAATTAGTCAGTTTCTCATTTTAGCCCACCCAAACCGCAACTGGGGCAAACACACCTGCGGTTTGCCTACTCAACTGCGGTTTCACATGAGATTATAAAAAAAAAATTATTTTTTTTTGACAAAACCGTAGGTGACATAAGCGACCTCAGACTATGGTTTTTTTTCTGGATGAACAAGATGCAGACCATTGAAAAAAAAATACAATTTCAAGAACGAAATAATAATTAACTAAGAACTCAACTGCTATTTCGTCCTTAATTAAGAGATATCACTAACCTTACAAAATATTTATAAAAAAAATTGGAAAACCACAGATGACATGTTCATCTGAGGTGTACAAGTTTCTAATGCACATTCGGTGCACCAACGACTTGTACACTGTAGATGGTTTGTTGATATGTGGTTTGTGTATTTTTTTTTTGTTTTTCCCCATAAATCCAAACTAGTACTACTAGATTTCTATTTAAATGATAAAAAACCGATAAAATTTGAGGTATAAGAGTGTTAACCTGATTGTTGTTTGAAGCCATCATTAGAGAGAAATGTAAATGTTTGCAACTGACCTAAATAATTTTTTCAACTTTATATATTAGAGGCTATGGGCCACGAAACAGCAGATAGGTCGCGGAACCATAGCCCAATGTCCAATACTGCACCTGAGGCTGAAATCACAAAACCACAGATGAGGTGCCCAAACCGCAGTTGACTTAATCTGAGGTGGAGTTTGGGTGGCTAAAATGAGATATTGGCTAATTTTTTGCTATCAAATGAAAAATCATTAAGTCATTTGGCTAGATTAATAATTTTCTCTGTATGTAATATTAGTATTTTAAAGGATGTAATATGATGATTTAAGCATAAAAACTATTAAAACTGAAATTTTGATTAGAAACAATAGACTTTCTTTCTTGTCGAAGTGGATGCAACTTCTTGTATAGGCTATAATTTGAATTTAACGTGTGCCAATAAAAATTTCCAGGTATAGGTTTTAATGTTGATGTTGTATTGGAGATTCCCTCAGTATCGAAACAATGAATAATCACCATGAACGAATCTTTCACAATGTCAAAAGATTACCAGAGTACAAGACTACAGAGCGATATGACTACCCCTATTGGTAACTTGGTTTCATTAATAAAGAAATTCGCAAGCTGTTTTGAAGAAACATACCACAAAGAACAACAGAACAACCAAAAGCATTGATACATAACCAAAAGCATTGATACATAACCAAAATCATAAAGATAAATCCTGTTAAAGGAATCTATCAAATCACAACATATCAAGAAAAAACCGAGACAGCTAGAGACTGTACACAGCATTAAAGCACAGAAGTGGCTTCCATGGATTGTTGTTTAAAAGTTCAAACACGACCATCCCACAAGGAATCACCACAACCCTCATTGCCATTGGTAGCAGATGTCAAGAGACTGCGGACATCTTCAGGAGGGTTCAACCCCAGCATAGCAGCTCTCTTCCAACGATCCATTCTCTTCATCCCAACACATGGCCCATACGCCATGTTCATGTCAAACTGCCTCAACACCTCTTCCCTTCCACCATCACTCTCTGTCATTTGTCATTACACAAACAAGTTACTTCATTTCATTTACAATAAAACAAACTGACTCTAAAACAATATAATTGATACATCGGAAGCGTACGGTAGTGTTTGATTTCGTTTTCAGAATTTTTGCCCTAAATGCAAAATCCATGGAAGAAGAGACTGTGAAGTGTGAAACCCTAACTACATAAAAAGATATCGATTTCTAGAGGATTGTTCTGGCATAAGAATGATCTACTCACCTTTGAGATCAAAATAGCCATGGGCAACGAGAGCAGGAGGTTGTGCACTCTTTGCTCCGAAACTCGCAGCATTTTTCGACTTAGGCTTCGATTTGTTAGGTGGAGGTTTGCTGATCCCTGCATTCTTCTTCGTCTGCTTGTAAAATCCCTTCATGCTTGCAGAGGACGCCATCTTGATTTTGAAACCCTAATTCTCTGCTTTCTGATTTTGATTTTTGAAATTTGAATAACCAAATGGGGAGAGATGTGGCTTATAGATATACGACCGTTTCTGTCAAGGTTTTTACATTTACCTCCTCATTAATTAGAAAGTGTACAGTTATTCCCTTTGTATTTAGAAAAAGTGAATGCTTAACCACTAAAGTTTGATGTACAAAAAGGCTTATTATTTTGCCTTTTTACTAAGAAACTAAGGTTGTAAAATTAGGGATGAGCATATGGACCGGGGAACCGGCCGGAACCGATACCGGAACCGGAACCGAAACCCGATGGAACCGGTCGGGCCGGGACCGGGACGTTATTTTTGTGGATTTTTGGAACCGGGAACCGGAACCGATATAACCGGAACCGGTAGAACCGGCAAAAACCGGAACCGTATGATGCTATTTTTCGAGGACCGGTTCCAACATTTGAAGACACGACAAGAACTGGTAGGAACCGGGAACCGATAGAACCGCCGGGCCTGTTCGGTTCTTGATTTTGGCCGAAGCCGGTTCCCGGGTCGGGTCCGGTTCGGGCCGGTTCCGGCCGGTTCGGTTCTTTTGCTCATCCCTATGTAAAATTGTTAGGTGTTAGCTAATCGATTGATTGGGAGGGAGTAACTGATCTAAACTAGGGGTGAGCAAAAACCGAACCGCAAACCGAAAAACCGCAAAATAACCGAAAAACCGAAAAACCGAAACCGAACATATAACCGACGGTGCGGTTTTAGAAATTCAAAAAACCGCAACTTTTTGGTGCGGTGCGGTTTTATGTTTCAGAAAACCGCAAAATAACCGAACCGCACCGCAATATTAAAATATTTATTATTAATTGAATATATATATATATATATATATATATAATAAAAATACACATCCAAAAAGAAAAGGCTCGTTCCAGAGTCGGCATTTAGTACAGGTGGCAGAGTTATTGATAAGTAAGTATAGGAGTTCACTTAACCCCGACACCGCGGAAGTTCTAATTTGTGCACAAGATTGGATAAGGTGTTCATCGGTAGATCTTGAGCTTGGTTGTGCTATGAAGAGTAAAAAAATTGATGAATTTAATGAGAAGATGGCGGGTTTAAAAATTGGTAAGGTTTTTTCCATATGTTATGATTTCATATTATTATTATAATTACTAGTGATTTATATACTAATAATCTAATATTTTTATTTATTTATGTAGATTGAAAACAAGAAAAAATCTTCCAAGGATCAAGGAGATTATGATTAATGGTGGTTTATTTTATATGTTTTATTGTTGGTGATAAAAACATGTTTATGCTTTTTGATGAAGTTTGAACTTTGATGGATATTATGTTGTATCAAGTTTAAACCAAGATGTTGATGACTTAATGGTTATGAATTAAAATGAATTTATTAATTTCAAATGTGGTTGGATCGTGTGTTTATATCTATTTTATTATCTTTTGGATGCAAGTTCAAGTTGGCAAGTTATAACTTCAAAAAATTTAAAGGGAATATATTGATATAATATGAATTGATGCTTATATGTTGTATCTAGTGCTAGTTGTCATATAAGAAAGTCAAACTTAATAAAGGAAATAAAAGCTGAAAGTTATGGGAAAGTCAAACTTAATAAAGAAAATAAAAGCTGAAAGTTGTGGTTGGACATAAAAATAACCGCACCATCGAAATAAAACCACACCATTTCTATATTGCGGGTAATAACCGAAACCGCAAAAAAAAACTGAAACCGCAAATGAAACCGCAAAACCGAACCGCAACAAAAACCGCACCTATCGATTTCATGGATATAAAAACCGCAATTTCAGTTTTCGGTTTCGGTTTGGTGTAAAAACCGCACCATGCTCACCCCTAATCTAAACTAGGATTAACCAGAAACCCTAATTTATAAAAAAAAAATTAAAAATAAGTATATATCACAAAATATCAAAATTTGATTTATTTTATGCACAAATACACATTAAACATATACAAATAGTTAAAAGTTAAAAAAATAATAAATTTTGTGTCATTTCATGCTATGATACACTGAAACCGACATGATAAGAGACATATAACATAAGTGTCAGCGTGATGATAGACAAATAGTGAAGCGAAAAATAGGACATTTGGTTTATCATTCATGTATTTCATTCTTTAATTTTGACATTTTTTAGATTTGTGTTTTATTTTGATTTTTTTTGATAATTTTAACCATTTGACGTTTTGATTAATTTTAACCGTCTAGATCTACTAATTAGCCCGGTTAATAATCGATTTTGACTAGGCACACCTAATACAGCCTATTAGCATTATTCGTAGGCGGATGTAGACTACCAAATGATTAATGACCGATTAATCGGCCGTCTAGACCGATTTTTACAACATTGTACAAAAATTAATAGGTATTATACCAAAATTCAATTATAATGAAGTGGTCATTGATAATAGCAACGTACTCTATAAGAACTCTCGATTATAACAACATTAAAGGTCATTGGTTATTAGATTGCAAATAACTTTTTGGTAGGTTGTTGTTATAAGACTATGTTTGACAGACTAACTGAAAAATTAGCTGGTAGCTGAAAAGCTAGTTGATAATTGAAAAGGTCGCTAATATCTAAAAAGCTAGCCGACAAAAAATGATGTTTGATAAAAACTTGTTCATAAACTAGCTAGAAGATATAAAATGACACTTAGAAAAATATGTATTTTATAACTAATTAAGGGTATATTTAGAATATTTAAAAAAAAGCTCCTGAAAAGCTACTCTAATGCTATGTTGACGTATTAGTTGAAAAACTAGTCGATAGTTGAAAAGTTAGTTGATAAAAAAATGATGTTTGATAAAATCTAATTAATAAACTAGCTCAAATATATAAAATTTCATCAAATGACATTTAGGATAATGAATTTTATATGATTAATTAAGGTATAATTGTAATATTTAAAAGAAAAGAAAAAGAAAAAATAAAATAAACTCCTAAAAAATTAGTCTAAGTAGCTTTTTAAAAAACTAACTTATAAATTATTTTTTAGCTTGTCAAAATGACAACTTAAAAAAACTTGAAAAATAAGTTAGCTTATCAATTAGTTGTGATATGTCAAACACAATCTAAATAGCTTTTTAAAAATCTAGTTTACCAACTATTTTTTGACTAATTTTAAAAAATAAAACTCAAAAAATAAACTAGCTTATCAGCTAGCTATGACTCACCAAAGATGATGACGCACCAAAGATAGCTTAAATAAATTTTAAAATATACTTCTATTTTTCTTAATTTTAAAACTTTTTATCTGGTAAATAACTCCCACAAAATTGATGGGTCAAAACAATTTGAGTAACAAGTCAAAATACCTTAAGTATGATTGAAAAACTATATTAAAAGAGATACTAACCTTTTTTTCTAACAAAACTATTTAAGAGGTTTTACTTGTACGTAATAATAATAGACTTGAAATGACTTTTGATCAATATGACTTGTGTTCTTAAGTTAAAGTTGGAGTTTGGTAAATAATAAACATAAGGCATTAGTTTCTACATTTTATACAACATTTTCAATAAACTACAAAAATACTTCATCCATCATTTATAAATAAGTTTACAAAAAATGTCACAAAATTGAGTTGAATTAGAGTCCAAAGGCCACCCTCTGCACATAATCAGGCCGCCTCTTGCTAGGCATCCGTAGCAGTCCTGTAATCTGAAGTTCCGTTACTGCCCTGCAAAATCGTGCTCTGTACAACATCATGTTAAGGATTTCAAACAACTTCTAATGAAAAATCCAAGGGCAACATGGTCATTTTAAAATAAAAGGATACTGAATTGATGCTTCTGTTATTTTCTTCTGAGGTTCAATGGCAGTTTTTCTTTTCTTAGGCGATGGTGAAACCTTTGACCTGTTTCGGTCTTTGACCGTTTGTTGACCAACTATTCCTCTAAAAGATTGATACCAATCATGCAGATTTATAACATCACCATACTCTTGAGCCAAACTATACCTGTTCAAATCAATTACAAGTAAAATCTCAAAATCATTATCAATTTTAAAAAAGTAATAAATAATATTGTAAGCAAAAAGCATCTTACATTAGTGTTGTGTCATGCATTGTTGATATTGGGGAACTCTCACTTTTGGTGCTGCAGCAACTACACTTGATGAAGGTGTGGGCCCCGAGTAGATCAAGTTGGATTCTTTTTCTAGGGTCTCCTAATAAACCCTACAATATTATTAAATAAAAAAATAAGAAAAAAAAACACAGATCAAGTAATTTTAGTAGAAAAACTTTCTTGCATGATGACTTACAGCCTGTAATTTGTCGACATCTGTAAAGCAGACGATTTCATGAAAAGGAATCGACTCAATGGGCTGCATATAATCCCTGCTTCATAAATCATACACAAACATTATTATTAATATTTAATATTTACTATTAAATGAGAAATCAAATAGTAGAAATAAAATTACCTTGCCATGTGACTCATAACTACAGCAGCTTTCTCGTTTAATGCTGTTGTACACTTATCAAAACTTCCAACATTTCGAATTGCTTGTCTCCTGTCATATTTTAATAAAATAAAAAGTTAGTTTCATAAGTAAATAATTAAACATCATTTATCTTTTTTCTTTTTTTAATTCTAAAATCTTAATATCGGTTACCTGGATCTTATTGCTGTTTCTTTCGAACTACTATTCTCTAATTTCTCTTGTGACTGAAGCTCCTTTACTTTCTCATGAATCTAGAATGAATAAGAGTATAAGTAAGTGATATAGTCAAACATAAGCAATGTACTTTGAAAAATCTACCCAATTATAGCAATGTCATTCAAATTCAAACAAAGTATGTTGCTATTTCTTGCATTTAGCCCTAGAAATTAAAGATGAAATTACATACCTCATTAACACCATCTGTAATTTTATTCCATTTCTCAAGCAACTTAAACAAGGCAACTGGTGAGAGGTCCCTGAGTGATAACATGATAATTGAAAATATTACAATGAGTTTTATAGCTGTAACAAATGATATTATTCTTAGAGGTTAAACAGAATAAGTACAAAAAAAAAAGATATATGATTTTATTAATTACCTTATTTGGCGGATTGTGTGGCCGATTAAATCACCTTTATGAATTTTAACTGATTCTCCATTCATATTGTGATTCCATGAAGACCTTTGATGATCAGGTTTTGACTCCAAGTAATCAGAATCTCTCATGTTGCAAAGCTTTGGATCCAATGCTTCATAATACAAATCCAACAGTGTGGTTTTATGATTCTTTCCCACTTCATGCAAACACTACAAGAGATTTTACCTTTCCAAAGTTTATAAAATATACAATAAAACAAGGAGAAATGAAGTGTTTATATCATTCTAATTCTGTAAAATACCAAAACCACACAGCTCCACAAATCCAGCACTTCCTTCATTTTTGATGGTCCTCCCAAACAAACTTCACTTTTTGTTTCAGAAAGTCTCCTTGCAAGAGGATTGAAAACATAACTTAGCACACATACACATTACACATACATTGAATAGCTTTTTTAAACACAAAATTACATGAATATCTTAAATACCTCACACAAGATGGAAGTTCAAGAGCTTGACTAGGCCATGAATCTGCCAATGAAGTATGTTCATCAAGTAATCCTTTCATTGTGAAGCTTATAGGCTCCATAAGATAATGCTGGACAATTGCCATCTGTAGAAAATTTGTTCACAATCAGCATTGTATACTAAAAGTCTAAAATACCCTTTCTAATATAGTACAAAAGCACCAACCTTTACAGCTCTAATCAAAGAAGTCAATGTTCCATCTTGTCTCAAGAAGCAATTTCTTATAAAACCTGCAACCTTATGACCGAGTAAGAAACCAGTGCAAGGTTTTACAAGGACTGCTTCAATGATTGCATCCAATCGGTCAGCTGGAGATCCCAAAATGAACTTGAAAAGAGACAGGTGTTGAACTGTCTTGGAAGAAAGTATGTTTTTTGAAGCATCAAGCATTGTTGCAACTCCCATGATTAAAATCACTGGGATCTTAATCACCCACTCACTGTTTAAAGCAAAAAATAAGCAAATATTGAAGTATCAAGGTGATGGAATGCATTTAAAATTGTAAAAACTGAAGCAGTATATATACCTTAACATGAGTATGAAATCAGAAAGTACAGGTTCACTGCATCTATCCATGTCTTCGATAATAACAACCACTGGGTGCTTAAAATTCTCTTTCTCCATATACCAAGATGCTAATACAGATATATCGGCTGACTGTTTAGATAAGAAGGTAGAAGAAGTATTATGAAATCAAGAAACATTGAAAGAATTAAGTATTTGAATATAGGTAAAAAGATATTACATCAATGCTACCCTTCAAAATCTGCCTTGATAAACTTCTCAAACAACCACCTACACCAGTCTTAGGTGAAAAGTCAACTGATGAGAGGTTAGCCACATGGCAACCATGGGAGTTCAAATGTACACCTAGATCCGCAAATGTCTGAAGATCATCAACAAATTCCATGTTGTCTGCAGATTAGTGGTTGTTGATACTCAGTCCTTACATGAACAATGAAAAATTGATAACTTATAGCAATTGAATTTAAAAGGAACTTACTCATTACTACTAGGGCAGTATAAAGTTGTTTAGCTGTAACATCGGTTACAATGGGGTATGAACAAGTGGCTTTGTTGGTATCGGGCCTCCCATTTGAACAAATTGAATCAAAGGATTTGTGGACCCAGCTATCTATATCATTGAATACATCAGCATTCATGTTGTGCATACATTCCTGTATTGCCAAATGAATGTCAAATTATAGTCAGCTCTTAGCTGCCTGAAGAAGATACACCCTCTTGTTTCTTTACTTTCTTTATTGTTTTTATGGGAAAAATTACAACAGGGAGATAGAAGAGAGGTCAACCTTAATGGTTGATTCAATTGTCATCCAAGTGTTGTGGAAGTTTTTCATCCTCAAGTTCTCGTGCGACTGATCATCGAGAAGTTCAGCTTCATGATTATTATCCAATGATGCAGACAAGTTAACCTTAACGGATCTACGAGCCTTTCCTGCTGATTTTTTAGCAGGATGTTGACGAGGAGAAGCTTTGTGGAGCACAAAAAATGGCTGTAAAAGAAAACAAATAATCCAACATTAACTCTTCATTTCAGAAATTAAGATAGAGAATAAGAATATTACAACCTTGAGATCGTTATCGGAAATATGGGGGAGAGACAAATCATCCGCTACCGACGGTGCCATGTCTAGCCCTGTTAGGGTTCTTCCTCCCCCGTTCTCGCTTTACAGTATGCAATTTTGGCGGGAAAATCACCCGGAGACGGTAGTGGACTAGTGGCTTTTGTTGGGCCCAAACTTTTTCTTTTAATGTTTGGGCTTTGGTTTGAATCTGATCAGGGAACTAAAAGGGGCTGATGCTAAGGCCCATCCTAATACAATATCTTTCTCATCCCAGAACTCCTTGCTAGGCTAACGTGCTTCGAACTCGATGTCATGTAAGATTAAAGGATACCTATCATAACTCCTAACAAAGGGAATAAGGGAAGCGGATCAAGACAAGTAGGGGTGTTCGTTTGGATGGATCGGTTTGATCCGATCCAATCAAGTGAATCCAGATTGATTTCGGTTTTCAAAACATGGATCCGAATAATCCAAACTAACTTCAAATCTGATCTGATCCGATCCAATTACAATTCGGTTGGATCGGTTTTATAATTCGGTTTTCAAAAACCGAAACAATTTAAAACGACATATGATTATAATATTACTTAACGTTACACAAGAAGCAAAGACATATTATTTAGCTGTGATTTGAAATTTATAAAGAACTAATAAGATGATATATTATAGTTAAATATTTTATAGATAGAAAACTTTTGAGAGAAAATGCATATTAATGTTTTTTTTATTGGGTGAAACGTTTTAAACCTATTTGAACAAAAAAAATTACAAAATTAATAAATAACTATAGATATATACTATAAATAGATAAATAATAAATGTTTATTCAGTTTTTTTGGACTATTCGGTTCTTATTTTATAAACCAAAACAATCCAAAATCCAAAATAATAATTCGGTTTTTTTAAAAACCAATCCAAAAATCCGAATATCCGAACCAAATAGTCCAATCCAAATTGTCCAATTGGATAATTCGGTTTTATCCGAATAGTGAACAACCCTAAAGACAAGTCGATAGACAAAGCTGACAACCCTAGCATCTATGGCAAGCAACTTGTGGTAAAAGTTTTCACAAAAATTAAGAACGACTTGATAATTTTTAGGAGTAAAAAGGAAGGTTTGGCGCGTGAAATATGAGTAATTGTTACAAGCGTTGAAGGCTAAGATTCGGAAAAAAAAAATTAAGGGTAAAATAAAATCTTGAGATCGTTTTATGTTTTTAGTTTATCCTATCTTTTTTATGGTCTTGTAATATTTTATATTTAGATTTAAATATTATGGTTTCATTTTAAAAGTATGTTTTATAAAATTATATTTGTTTTTATAATTATTAAAAAAACTCAAAAAAAAAAAAAAGATGACATGAAATTATTTTGGTGCGCTGGTGTGGTGACCATTTCTTACCGAAAATTGTGTGGCGTGGGGGATGGTGTGACATGTGAAGTGGCAAAAAATGGTGTGGAGGGAGGACCTATACCCACCAACAGAGAGGCAATTGATTTATGTAAGTGTCAACACAGACTGACGCAAGGCATGGTGCGAAAATATGAAAGTTGAAGCCACCAACACCTTGAGAGATGTAATCGACGCCTAGAAAAATGGACTTTGTAGAAGATCCAAGGTAGGGGACGGTTTTGGTGTCCCTTGGATAGAGATAAGGCAGGTTCTGAATAAGGTAAGGATTGTCCCGAAGAATTTGAATTGCTTAAGGATTTATCTGATACCTATAAACCCTAACTGTTGATTCCTTCTCCCAAAATCGTCCAATCTCTCTCTCTCTCTCTCTCTCTCTCTCTCTCTCTCTCTATATATATATATATATATATATATATATATATATATATATATATATATATATATATATATATATCCTATAATCAAAATCATAACGTCTCCTAGGGTTAGTGATTGTCAAATAAGCCTCTCAAAGGGTTGTTCCTTATTAGCTTTTTGGAGTTTTGGGTATGGCTACATTAGAGGGATTCTCCATTAGGTCCTTCATCCATTGCAAGATCTAGCAGTTACAAGGTCTCTGTAACATCTTGTTTTAAGCTGATTCATATTCGGGACCGTGACTCGAATATATGATACCGGGAGGCTTCAGATCTTAGGGAAGAAAGGTTAGACTCATTTGAGTGTGGTTAATGTAGCTTAGATGATCTGAGCGTTCAGTTTGCGTTGTTGGGTACCAAGGGTATATCAGTAAAGTGGCAGTTCAGGTCTTCTATGGATTTTGGGTTTTGTTTGGGAAGTTTTAAGGCCATGGTGTGTTATTAGGAGCATAGGGCTTCTCGCCACCTTTCCGTGGATATAAAGAACGTCAAAAACGGAGTTGAAGCGAAGAAGTTATGGCCGTTTGAAGTTGGAGTGGTTCGGGTGAGTGATCGTTGACTTGTTGACCAAGCTCATTTTAGGCTCACGACGTGAGCATGAAGTGCTCACGACGTGAGGAGCACCTGATGCACCAAAACCCTTATTTTCAGGTATTTAAAGGTATGAGATGATTAAGGTTGTTTCTCCTCATCCTCCTTCACCTCCAAGACCCCTAGAAACCCTAATCTCAGCCCCCAGTGAAGTTCTTGGTCATTCTTGGTGTTATTCAAGAGATTTTGGGTTCTTGAAGCTCATTGAGGGAGAAGAAGATCATTGTGGTGCATTTGTTGGCATCTTGGCTTCATCATCAGCTAGTTGTGGAGCTTTTGGACCTTTGTAAGTCCTCAAGCTCATGCTTTTCCTTTCATTGCTTACTAGATCTAAGTTTCCATGCATTTTATGGCTTGTAATGTTGGTTAGTATGCATGGGATCCATAAAGTTGGCAACTTTATGGATCATGGTGGTATCTTAAGTCTTATAAGTCCCAGATCTGGATTTTGGTCATGGTTTTGGACTCCAAGTTTGAGTCTTGGTCCTTTTTCCTTCATTTTGACCTAAGTTGGTGTTTAAGTCATGTATTAGACATATGTGACTGAAAATCTTCGCTTTTTATGGTCCTTGGGGTCAAGGAAGACCCTCTAGACTGTCCCATGTTAAAGCTTAATGGATTAGGAGCTTAATGCTCATTTTTTGTCAGATATGGACTCACGACGTGAGGAATGAAGCCTCACGACGTGAGAGCGTGTTCGAGGAAGTTTCTGGACCAAAGTCACGACATCACGACGTGAGCATAAGGTGCTCACGACTTGAGCATCACTTGTGCAAGTTTTGGGCTCTTTGATTGTTGGCTAGCTTGGTATTGGACTTATCCTTTGGTTTGGGCTCGTAATGGACTAAGGATTTTAGAGTAATGGACTTTTGGTTGGGTTTGACTTTCTGGGCCTTGGATGGTGAATTGGGCCTTAGTGGGCCCAATATAGTTAGGACTTGATTGGGCCCAATGGGCTTGGACCTTTGGGCCATCGGAAAATCATTGGTTCAGAAAAGTAAATGGGAATTAGGGAAAGGCTCATGTAAGGGTTTGGGCCCAATTTGGAAAATTGGGCCATTGATGGGTTTGTATGGATTTGATAGTTTTGGTCCTTGGTTGTGAATCTTGTTAGGCCAGGGGTGAAATGGTCATTTCACCCCAAGTAAGGATATGGAACATGGTTTGGAACCTAACTGCTAATTGGGTGACATTTTGGTATTGATAGCTCGGGGAGTCGGCAGGACATTTTGGTAGAGATTTATGTGCTTGTATGCTATGTTATTATGTGGTGGTGGTGGTAGGAGGGGGAAACGGATCCCGTAACCGGCTGATATAAACCGGAGGGTAGGTCGGGCACCCAGATATGCCTGACAGTATTTTATGATATGTTGTTATATGGTAGTGGTGGTGTAACGCCCGTAGATCCGGGCTAGTCAATTTAGAGACAATGAGCATCAAAAATGAGTTTTTGATGAAAGATTATTTAGAAGGAGTAATCTTAACCAAGTGGTAGTATATGTTCCAAGGGTTTCGTACATATAAAGAACGCCGAAATCCGAGTTATAACGAAGAAGTTATGGCGCGTCGAAGTTTCGCGGCAAAACCGGCACGACAACGGGAGACGTAAATAGTGAATTTACGATAGAGCGACTTTTGGCCTTAGTGATCTAAACAAAAGTTGTAGTGTACGTTAAACCGAGAACATACAAAAAAAAGAACGCCCAAATCTGACTTCGTATGAGGAAGTTATGAATTTTCTAAGATTTGGCATAACAGTGCACGACCCGAAACTCGAATTTTAGTTCGAGCGGTTTTTGGCTTACGCGACCTAAATGAGAGTTGAAGATCTCATTAATAGGAACTCAACGGTAAAAAGACAGACGAAAACGGAGTCCGTATGAAGGAGTTACAAATTTTTCGCGGTCATTTAACAGTCTAATCTCCTCCTACTGTTAAATTTAAGATTGGTCAAGAATTAGCCGACGTAGTCAAAATGAAAGTTGTAGGTCTTGTTTTTACCTACGCGTGGATATAAAGAACGTCGAAAACGGAGCTCGGTAGGGTGCTGCTGCAAAAGGGGTGACGTGGCACAATGTAGGCCACACACGTTTTGCCACCAGAAAGCTGACAAGTGGCACCGACTCGACGAGTCAGTGAACCGACTCGGCGAGTGCATCAGGAAATCAGCCTATAAATAGAGGTGCCGGGTTCCTCCATTTCCCACACCTTTCCCCACTTCTTTCTCTCTCTAAACTCTCTCTCTAACCCCCCCTAACCCCCTCGTAAGCCTAGGTAAACCCCCTAGCATCCGAAGGAAGCCCCGAGGCTCCCGGAGTCCCGAGAAAAAGGGTCTTTCGGTTCGGAAACGCTGCTCCAAGCGAAGTCCGGTTTTCTATAAAACCCGCTGTAAGTGAGCTACGTCTACGCTATTTTTAATATAACTTTTATTTAATTATAGTAATGTTATTAGGAACTTATAATAAGTACTTGGGCTATTATTATGGGTTATATAAGTATTGTTTAACGCTTATATAATAGTAATAATAGCCAGACTATTAATTAGTCTTGGTGAATATTTAGACTAAACTCTAGTGGTAATGATACTAGGTTTTGTCCGAGGAAAATTGTTGTGACATCCCCAATTTCACGGCCAGAAAAGACCGATTTCGTTTATGCTTTTTAAAATAAAATCAGAGAAATCTTT